CATTCTTCTTGATTGTGCAGGAACCTCCACTTCTGCTTTTCAAATATGTGTTGTTGTATAACTGTGCATCGGTTTGCAGCCATTTTCATTTGTGAGTGTAAACGTTGAGTTGGGGGGCGTGGCCAGCAGCAGCTTATTTGGATTTAAAGTGACAGGAGACCCTAATGGCCCATAATGGGCAGAACTGAGCAGACTTAAATCTCCTTATCGAAGAATGACTTTGTGTAAAAAATGTGATGAACGTGTTTTATAGAGACCATAGACATATCCTAACCTGTTTAAGGAAGCCTAGCAGGTCACCTTTAATGTTGATTTAGTGACTGGAGTCCAAACACGCCCCATCATCAGCCCTCCACCTCTGTGTTTAGATGTTTGCTTAAGTCCGTGAATTTATTTTAGAGCCTTGTTTTAAGGCTTCATGTTTGTGTTCCTTTAGCCTGATTTTTGAGCTCAGTGCCCCCTGCAGAGTTATATTTGCTCATCCCAGTGCCTTCATTTCTCCCAGCATATTTTAATCAAACAAATCTGTTTTCGTCGCCTCTCTGCACGCTGTGATGCAGCTCCCACTGAAACTTCACTGCAAAAACACAAAATCTTACCAAATATTTTTGATCTGGTTTTAGTTCAACTATCTTAGTCCACTTGAAATTAGACAAAAATAACCTACAATTAACTTTTTAGCAAGATATAGAAGCTTGTTTTAAGTCAGTAAATTCTTAATATTGATGAAAAATATTATCAGTGAAATAATCTGCCATTACAACTAGTACATTTTTTATTAATATTAAGGAATTATTTTCTTAAAACCATAAATCTTGTTGATAAGTTACTTATTAGTTATAGTATTTACTTATATTTGCTCTAGAAACTATTACCTATTATGTTATGTTAAGTGTATTAACTACACTTAACATAAGACAAAGCAACTTTTCTGAAAGATGTAGGAGCTTGATTTGTCAATAATCCCAAATTATTGATATAAAAGTATAAGTAAAATAATCTGCCAATATTATAGTATGTAATATGGCAAAATGTCTTGTTCCGCTGGCAGATTATTTCATAACAAGTAATTTTTTTATCAATATTTTAGGATTATTGACCTAAAAGCTCCTCTATCTTGCTGAAAAGTGACTTCTAAGTATTTTTTTTCTTGTGTAATAAAATATTAGCAGTAGAATTTAGACAAAAATTCTTGGTTAGATTTTGTGTTTTTGCAGTGTTCTCTGCTTCTCTTCTGTCTAATCTGACATTTCCTCCTTCCTCCATCCTGCCACTCCAGCGATTCTCTCTGTTTTTATTTGTTTTCTGGCTTCACTGATGCGACACTCAGATAACGCAGACGCTGCTCTCCTTTACATTTTCCAGGCGAACGTTAAATATCTTCGCTGCGCTGCTGCGGGGCGCACAAAGAGAAACAGAACAATATCAAGCATAATTCAGCCCGCTCTTTTGTTGCATCCAATCCATTCTGAAGTGTCTATTAAAGGAGCTGTGGCCTTTCTGTCGCCTCCGTGCACGACTACGCCGGAGGGGGGGAGAGAGAGAAAGAGGAAAAAAAGAGCAGTGCATAATCTGGTATGTCTGACAGATAAAGGGAGCGAGTATCGCCATCTTTCCACTCTGTTCTGCTCATCTCCTAATCGTTTTTCTGACGTTTCAATCTGCCAAGGCCCTAATGAAAATATGATGAGGCGGATCTGCGGTCCTCGGGGATGGAGGGGAGGGATGGAGCGAGGGATGGCTGCAGAGGGAGGATGAAGGGAGAGAAAATACACTCTGTCCTTATTTCCGGGCTCCGGTGGGGATACATAGTTCTTGGAGCTTTCTATTTAGATGTTGCCACTGCAGGAGCGCATCTCTCTCCCTCTTTCTCTTCCTCTCTTTATCTCTGCCATCCTCATTTTTTTATGTATATTTATGTATGAATGTTTGTGTGTGACTAGGATAAATGTGTTTATTTTTTGATTATATCCTCCTATGAACTCCCACAGGCTTCTCCCTTTTGCCATCCAAGAAACATAAGACTTCTCCTTAATCATCCCACTTCGCCCTGCTTTACCCTCACTTTTCCTCTTTTTTTTTATGATCCTGCAGCTGTGAGTTAAACAACGCCTCCCCCTCCCTCCTTTCCTCTAGATGGCGACGATGACCCCGCCGGCCTGTCCTGGGTGCCCTCCTCGCCCTCCAGCAAGGACGTGGCGTCGCCCTCCCAGATGCCCGACGGCTGCTGCGACCTGGGCATGGCCACCGGCGGCGAGGAGGAGGGCGGCGCCGGCCTGCCGTACCCCTGCCAGTTCTGTGACAAATCCTTCAGGTATCTCCTCCGCATCTGGATCCCGCTCATGAATATCTGGGTGCTCATAAATAAGCTGCAGCCGCTTCGCTGTTATTTCCATAATAAAGTGGAACGCTAAGGCAACAGTAAAGGGAATGAGGTGAATACATTTCTCACCAGCGTCTCCGGAGACTCAGTCAAGAGCCATTTTAAGAACAGCTGTCTTACACACACTCCAGAGTCATCATCATTATTATTCCCCGTATTAATCGTTCTGCCGAGCTCACCTCCTTCTGTCATTCTTCAACACTCACGCCCTTGTTCCGCCGCGCAGAAGCAGCTAAACCCCTTCAACTTCTCGCACATTTAATGACATTTAATGGATTTTACTGGGATTTAAGCTGACAGATAAACTCATAATAATTATATATTTTAAATTTATCTACTTAAAAAGCACACAGATAAACTAGGTGTGAATTTGCTTGCAGCCCTGCTTACTTGGATACCCCTAAAGAAAATCTAGTGTAAATAAATGTACAGCTGTAGAAGAGAATCAGGGACACTGAAAAAAAAAACTAATTCAGACTCTAATCTTTTGAAATCAAAAGCAAAAATAAAAAAAGTAAGAATTCTAAAAAAAAAATTACTTTAATCTCAGTAGTCTGATAATTTTTGAAAAGAACAAAAATAATTCTAAACTTAATCTCAGACTTTTTTCTCAGAATTTTCACTTTAGATTTCAGAAGATTTAAGTCAGACTTTTGAGAAACAATCAGAATTTTTACTTTGATCTTAGAACACAGAGCAAATTCAGACTTAATTCTCAGAATTCTGATTTAGGCTGAGAATTCTGAAACTAATTCTAGAATTCTGATGAAAAAAATTATAAATCTGAAGTTAAAGTGACAATTCTGAGATTTATCAGAATTTTTTTCAGTGTCTCTAATCCTCTTCTGTAAACGTTATTAGAGTTTATTGTGAAGTTTACAGCAGATTTGAGTTATGAAACAATTTTCCAAGCTTTAAACATTTAAATAAATCAGCCAAGAGACTTATGGGAACTCTGGAGGAGCTGCAGAGATCCACAGCTCAGGTGAAACGTAGCTATTAGAAATATTTGCAAGGAATTTTCCTCATTATATCCCTTCCAAAAACAAAAAAAAAAAAAAAAAAAAAAAAAAAAACTTAGGTTTAAAAAACTTAAAAAAC